CAAGTGCTAACTTCCAGAGCAGAGGTTCGAGACATAAGATAAAAAGTAGGCCTGATGGAGAGTCACCTTGAGCTACTCCACATATTACTTCAAAAAAGGTAATTATTCCTGACTCGGTCATAATGTCGGCCATTTTCTTTTTCATAGTGGTTCTAACAATCTTGATCATATAATCTGAGTAGTTAAAAAATTTCAAGATTTCGAGGATATATTCATGTGATACAGAATCGAAAGCCTTTTTGAAGTCAATCGCCAATAAAGCCAAACACTTGTTTTCAAGTTTACCTTTTTTAATAAATTGTAAAATATTCATTAAGGCTTCATGTATGACTTTTGTCTTCGAGTAAGCTTTCTGTGAATCAGAAGTGTTTAAATCGATTATGCATTTTAGTCTATTGGCAAACGCTTTCGAAAAGATCTTGTAAACATTAGATAGGAGACTAATAGGGCGCCAGTTTTTAATCATTGAACAGTCACCTTTCTTTGGAATCAGTTTAATACTAGCAGTTCTTAAGTTTGGGTATAGTTCCTCCTTTTCTACCATAACTTCGAAGCCTTTGGTAACAGGGTGTCCAATTAAAGGCCATAAAAATTTGAGTACAGCGTACGTGAAACCGTCTAAACCGGGACTCGAACCTATCTTTGTTTCTTCTAATGCTTTTGTAAGCTCATAGTGTGTGATTGGAACATTGTCCCTCTCTGAATCTAAATTAGACAATTTTTTTGATTGCACATAATCGCTATTCATAATCTCAGGAGTCAGAAATTCCTCAAGATTTAAGCTTTTTTCCGGAATTTCGCTATAAATGCCCTTAAAGAAGTCACATAGATCAGAATTACGTTCTTCATCATTATCATAATCTACTATAGCCCCTTGTTCATCCCTTTTTCTTAATTGATTTAAAGAGTCATTGCCTTTTTGTGCTTTAGCTAGCATGCAAAAAGATTTAGTCGGTTTCTCAAAATTCATAGAGTGCCATAGCTTAGTTCTGGCGCAGTTCCGGAGATTTAAGTCATCATCAAAATTTAAAATTTTTTGTTCAAGATAAAGTTGTTCCTGATAAAGATTGGAATGAGTATCTAAATTCATATTTTGCAATACTGAAACTCTTTTTCTCATATCTTTTAGTAATAAATTTGTGGTTTTCTTATGTGCACGCTGGTGTGACATTATACAATTATGAAGATTGTTCATTAATGTCTCAAGGAATTTATCATATTCAATTAGGATTGGTCTATTATGAATTATATCACCTATATCTAGAAATGGAGCAATTATTTCATCAATTTCGTGACATTTTTTTTCAATTACAGAAGTCAAAAGTTTATCATGAGGGAAGTTATTAATTGATTTTTTAATAGAGATGACATCGGCAAGAAGGGACCGTGCGAGAATGAGCTGCCTGTTAATCTCATCGATGTATTGGGGGTCTGCGCGAGGATCAAGATAATCGCAAAAAGTTCCAAGAGTTTCCAGACACACGGCTTGTTTTAGACCGGAAATGGTCAGGAGACTGGGGTCAAGAAATGTTAGATTTTGAGGAGACTTCTTGGCCGGGACAAGGAGGACACCTTTGTGATCGAAGAGCTTGGTGGTGATAGGTAGATAAGTTAAATTAGAAAAGGACTTAACAAAATTTGGAGAGCATAGAAAGTGATCAATCCTTGATCTTGAGTGATCATTTTTATTAAATGGAACATGACTGAAAGTTCTACTGTCGGGATAGAAGTGTCTGAAAATGTCAACAATAAACCCGGTTTCACACCATGAAGAGAGGGTTTTAGAGTTTGAGACATTGGGGATCTGAACCATGTTTTTAATATCCAAGTTAAAATTATTTGTAGCAGTTATTGCATTTGCATCAGTTACCATGTTGAGGTCGCCACCTATAAGAAATTCATGAATACCAAAACTTAGAATATCTCTCTTAAGGTTCACCATGAAGTCAGGATCTTGAGAAACAGTGGGACCGTATACTGAACCAACCAAGAAGATCGAGTCGCGAAAAGATATTTTCAAGATCAAATAATTCTCCAGGCTGCACTTCACAACGTCTAATATCTTGTAAGGTAATTGAGACTAACGTCTTGAAGTAAAATTATCTCTACCTTCTTATCTAATATAGATTCTAATTTTTGGTCAAATCTATTAAGGTTGTTACTCAACTGAAAACGTGTTGATAAGTTCAAAGAATTAACGTTCTGTGATAGAAAACGAATACCATTTAGATCATTAAATACCGTCATTACTAGAACGCTGAGTACTATGTCAGGTACTACTGAATTTAAAGGTAGAAACGCGTGAGTAAAGAATGAGAACGTTTTTGATAAAAAGAAATGGAAAGTAAATTTTTATCGAGTTTCTTTTAAAATTTTTTAATTTTTCATTAATTATGTTTGAGTAAAGCGGATAAAAGCATACAAGTTTAAGGCTTAATAATTGAGGAGGATTAGAAAAGACACAAGAAATCTGATCCGCAACGATTATTTGAAAAGATAAATATTTAAATTGTTTAATAGTTTTAAAGGCTTCAATAAATGTTGAGATAAGTATACTGTTAAGTTTGATATACTGTCGACCGAGGTCTCTTAAGGTTTCACTGACACTGAGATGTGATTTTAAACATGTTTCAGTCTGTACCGTGACAGAACTGGTTCCTGGAGAGTGCAGTACGTGTATGTTCATGGAATTTTCCCGCGTACACAACGTATGCAGAGAAGAAAATATACCCTGAAGTGTGGCCGGAGCTGATGGAGAGATTGGCGCAGACACACAAGAATCTGAGACATTTTTAATCCAGCGAGAGTCAGGGAACATAAGATGGACGAATAAAATTGCCATTAGCAGTATGATGTTAAAGAATAATCTGATGGATGTTACTATTAAGCTGTTTTTAACAATAAAAATTTTGAGAACTTTTTTTTCATCTACTTGTTTTTCTGTTTGACAAAAAAGTTTATTTTTAAGTATTAAAATCGTTAAGATAGTTGATGGGAATTTTAAGAATTTGATCTTGTTTTGGTAACTTTTAAAAGTTGGTTCTTTACTTATTCCAAATGCAAAAAAAATGAAATAGTTGGATTTTTTCATAGAATTAAAGCCTATAATTTTTAATTTGTAAAATGTATGTAACATTATGCTTGTGATTCTCCGAGTCCATCGAATCTATTACTGGTTGGTGTAGACATATATTCAGTAGATTCAGAAGACATATATTCAGTAGATTCAGTAGACATATATTCAGTAGATTCAGTAGAAATATATTCAGTATATTCAGTAGACATATATTCAGAAGATTCAGTAGACACATATTCAGTAAATTCAGTAGACATATATTCAGTAGATTCAGTAGACATATATTCAGTAGATTCAGTAGACATATATTCAGTAGATTCAGTAGACATATATTCAGTAGATTCAGTAGACATATATTCAGTAGATTCAGTAGAAATATATTCAGTAGATTCAGTAGAAATATATTCAGTAGATTCAGTAGACATATATTCAGTAGATTCAGTAGACATATATTCAGTAGATTCAGTAGACATATATGTGCCAGATAAGGAGTTTTTCACATTATCCCTCTGCTTAATACGAATAGTAGTATGTAGATAGAAAGATTAGATTGTTTTCTATCACGATCTGTCCTATCAAAAAAATTATACAGTATTGAAAGAAAACTCCGTAAATTTAAAAATACTTTTATAATTTGAATGTTTATTTTAGTGCGATTTGTTTTAACAAGTTATTATTACAGGAATTCAAATTTATAATAAAGTTCGAAATACATGTATTCAGTTATTCAGTATACAAATGTGTAACAGAGTACTGTTGTGGTTGGAAAGCGTAAACCATGATAAACTATTCGATTATCGCATGTATACTATGTTGTGAAGGTTCAGAACTTCAGTAATAACCAGAAAACTCTGGAATAGTAAGACGACTTTTAGAATCAAGTTATTATATAACACAGAAATTTTGCAGTGTAAACAGACCAATTTTACTTAATGATTTACTTATGAAACTATTTACTTTGTAACATCATCAAATACACTTATTTATTAATTTATCTAATGTCGTCTTCCTATTCCTCAGTGTTCTGGTTATCACTGTATATTGAAGAATTTCTCCGCTTTTAATTTGTTATTCGAATAAATTCAGTTAAAGCTTTAATACGATCAAATACAATCGAAAAGAATTTCAAATGCCTACTGACGTCATCCATACAGATTTGCATTTGATTCGCTAACTAACTTTCTCACAAAATTTCTATCTATCTATCTATCTATCTAGCCATCTATATATCTATCTATCTATCTATCTATCTGTCTAGCCATCTATATATCTATCTATCTATCTATCTAGCCATCTATCTATCTAGCCATCTATCTATCTATCCATCTATCTATCTATCTATCTATCTATATATCTATCTATCTATCTATCTATCTATCTATCAATCTATCAATCAATCTATCTAACTATCTATCTATCTATCTATCTATCTATTCTTATATCTATCTATCTATCTATTTATCTATCTATCCATCTATCCATCTATCCATCTATCTATCTATCTATCTATCTATCTATCTATCTATCTATCTATCTATCTATCTATCTATCTATCTATCTATCTATCTATCTATCTATCTATCTATCTATCTATCTATCTATCTATCTATCTATCTATCTATCTATCTATCTATCTATCTATCTATCTATCTATCTATCTATCTATCTATCTATCTATCTATCTATCTATCTATCTATCTATCTATCTATCTATCTATCTATCTATCTATCTATCTATCTATCTATCTATCTATCTATCTATCTATCTATCTATCTATCTATCTATCTATCTATCTATCTATCTATCTATCTATCTATCTATCTATCTATCTATCTATCTATCTATCTATCTATCTATCTATCTATCTATCTATCTATCTATCTATCTATNCCCTTCACCCTTCCCCTCTCCCCCCCTGTGTAATTGTACTGCAGGGACCGGGAGCACTCTAAAAGGTTTTTCTTGCCGCCTGGTCTAACTCTGGACGTAAGTAAATAAACTTTAAAAGAATCTCAATCTAACTCATCCAATCAATATACAAATATACAGGGGGAACCACAAAGATTGGACGGTAAAGATGACCTGAAACTCGTCAAATATGACAATCCCAGGTTTAAATTACGTCTTCTGTCGTAAATATATAGTCTTTAAAATGCTTAATTACTGTTTTGGCAAGGAAAGAAACAGTTTTTATATGCAGAAAGTTATGAATATAAGTTCACCCTGTATTTATAATAAAGGTAGAGAGGATAGGGATTCTGTACATTTTACTGTGACGTTTTTGGACTTCTTAGGAGCCGTGTTTTGTAAATAAACAGGAAAGCTAGCTTACAATATTTTGTTACAGTCGTCGTCGTATATATCAATACAATGAAGACGACTTTCTATTAAAATTTTGATTTCTATCAAGAGAAAAATACTGAAACTTCTAGACGCTGCTTTTAAACTGTTTAAAAGCTGTCAATTAAGAGCTTTTCTCTGTTTACTTGTAAACTTGTAATTTTACAAATTTGCTATTCAGGGATTAAAGTTTAAAGCAGTTTTAATGAAAAGTCGTCTTCATTGTATTGATATAAAAGCCTTCTTCTGTATAAAGTCCAGAGATGGGCATCGTTTTTGAGAACGAATTATTTTACTGAACAATCGTTCACTGAGAAAACGAACGAAGTAGATGGAAATGAACGATAGTTTTAGAACAAACAAAATCAAAATTTAAATTTATTTGTTTTGAATTTGATTTTTTCTAAGAATGCCGCGCACCACTCACATTTTTCAAAATCCGTTTTCTAAATAAAACAATTAATTTAAAAATATTATAAAATTTAAACTATATACAAATGTGGCGAAAGATAATCGATGACTATAGGCTGTAATATCTGAATGATATGTTTAAAATGAAATTGATTTTTTTAATTACGGTCTAAGTCGTATGTTGCAATTTTCTCAATTTGTATGTACGCTAAGTTATTCGGTATGAGACGTCTTTAACAATTTTCTCCTCATAGACGCAACAGATAGAAGTAAGATTAGTAGCGATCAAAAGCTCTTTTTTATTGCATTAAGCCTATACCCCCTTTCATTTTTCGCAAACACTGATTCACAATAATGTCCTTAAAAGCTTTACGAAAATTTCAACATATTTATTAATTGGTTGTGAATTGCCCTAAACTTTAAGGGCTATAATCTCAAATGCAAAAAAATGTTGTTCTTAAAAAAAATGTTAACGTAGATTTGTTGTCACTCTTTGTTCTTTTAAATCGCCGAAACTTTGTGAATTTTGTCATCGATTTCATTGGCACAAAATAAAACAATTTTCGTTGTTTAATGTATAAAAGTTTTTTAACTGTTTTCACATGACCTTATTTTTCTTTTAAAAAATTGCCAGTCACTCTCCAATTTTAAAGAGCAACGTTTTTTCAGACTCTTTCTTTCAATTGTATAGTTCAACATTTTCCATTTTTCAATAATTGGTAAACTTTGACCTTTAGATTGAATTTCTATTTTTACGTGAACTAAACTTTGAATGAATAAGAGGATTAAAAAACAACAAAAGAAGAATTTTTCTTAGAAACACAGCTGCGACGCATCTTCAGTCCTGCTTACACGTGTTCACGCAGATATGTCAGGTTAGTTCAAAATTTACTCGCTAGGTGTACACGCAGATATAATAGGTTAGTTCAAAATTTACTCGCTAAGTGTACGCGCAGATATGTCAGGTTCGTTCAAAATTTACTTGCTAGGTGTACACGCAGATATGTCAGGTTAGTTCAAAAAATACTTGCTAGGTGTACACGCAGATATGTCAGGTTAGTTGTTCAAAATTTACTTGCTGGGTGTAAAGGCAGTTATGTCAGGTTAGTTCAAAATTTACTTGCTGGGTGTAGAGGCAGATATGTCAGGTTCGTTCAAAATTTACATGTTAGGTGTACACGCAGATATGTCAGGTCAGTTCAAAATTTACTTGCTAGGTGTACAAGCAGATATGTCAGGTTAGTTGAAAAAATACTTGCTAGGTGTACAAGCAGATATGTCAGGTTAGTTGAAAAAATACTTGCTAGGTGTACAAGCAGATATGTCAGGTAAGTTCAAAATTTACATGCTTGGTGGACACGCAGATATGTCAGGTAAGTTCAAAATTTACTTGCTAGGTGTACTCGCAGATATGTCAGGTTAGTTCAAAATTTACTCGCTAGATGTACACACAGATATGTCAATTTAGTTCAAAATTTACTCGCTAGGTGAACACCCAGAAATGTCAATTCAGTTCAAAATTTACTCATAAGCGGTATGTACACATAATGTCAAATTAGTTCAAAATTTACTCGCTAGGTGATCACGCAGGCGGCAGAAATGTCAATTTAGTTCAAAATTTACTTGAAGGTGTACATTTAGATAGGTGTATATTTACTATTATAGAGTTAGCTTAGCCCTAATAGACTCCACTCCTTTTTTATTGTTTCATTTTCTATCTAATCATCTTATACCTTAAAATTTAAACATGACACTTTCCATATAAATATCTGTTTTATTTCTATCACCGGCAGCCGTAGTAAATTTGAACTTCCGAACCGGGTAAACCTTTCTGGTCCCAGTTTGTACTTATAGCCCGCACCTTGGGTAAATAAAGGAGACACTTAACAGGACTAGCCGGTGCAACTAGGTTGACGCGGTCAGACATTAGGTTGAATTTACTTTTACTTAAGGGTCAGAGGTGCGTGTTATGTTAATATATCTATCTATCTATCTAACCATCTATGTAAACATCTATCCATCTATGCATATATCTATTTCCATCTATCTATATGTCTCTTGATCTATTTATCAATCTATCTATATCTAACTAGGCATTTACCGCAGTATAATCCGTGAAACTTATTTCCCAAGTTAAAATATCTAATTTCAGTTCTACTGGACGTTTAACTTTACAAATCTACAATTATTCACAGCCATAGATTACAAGAGATAAGACAATACTATAAATATTGTCACCCATAGATTACAAGAGATAAGACAATACTATAAATATTGTCACCTATAGATTACAAGAGATAAAACAATGATACAATTATTCACAACCATATATTACAAGAGAAATACTATAAATATTGTCATAGATTACAAGAGATAAGACAATACTATAAATATTGTCACCTATAGATTACAAGAGATAAAACAATGATACAATTATTCACAACCATATATTACAAGAGAAATACTATAAATATTGTCAACCATAGATTACAAGAGATAAGACAATACTATAAATATTGTCAACCATATATTATACTCAGAGACAAGGCAATAATAAAAATATTTTCAAACATAGATTATACTCAGAGATAAAACCATAAATTATACTCAGAGCTAAGAAAATACTATACATATTGTCAACTATTGATTATACAGAGATAAAACGATATAAATATTCACAACCATAGATTACAACAGATAAGAAAATAATAGAAATATTCTCAACCATAGATTACAAGAGATAATACAAAAATAGAAAACTCAGAGATGAGACAATAATAAAAATATGCTCTACTTTATATTATACTCAGAGATAAGACAATACTATAAATATTGTCACCTATAGATTATACAGAGATAAAAGAATAATAGAAATATTCTCAACCATAGATTATACAGAGATATGACAATACTACAAATATTGTTAACCGTAGATTACAAGATATAAGAAAAAAATAGAAATATTCTCAACCATAGAAAACACAGAAATAAGACAAAAAAACAAATTCTTACCATAGAATCGAATTCAGAATCGACAATAATCAAATAAATGCAGTCGTTCAATTGGTTATAATGGCACAGGAGAAGTACTGAATTTGTGGCATTGATTTGTCAACCTAATTTTGTTATAAAGATCTTAGCTACAAAAAAAAAAAAAAACACAAAATACCCCAATTACAAATTGTGGTCTGCCTTTTTTATGCTTTTACTATTACCGGAGAAAATACAAACTTCAAAGATCAAAGACGAGCTTCTGTCTTCTCTCAACTGTCATGTATCTTGGGACACTCTGTACTCTCTGTCCCTTTAAAAGTATTCTGCCTATGGTTCTATACCTGCGAGGTATCTAAAAGTATTCTGCCTAGGGTTCTATACCTGTGAGGTATCTAAAAGTATTCTGTCTAGGGTTCTATACCTGCGAGGTATCTAAAAGTTTTCTGCCTAGGGTTCTATACCTGTGAGGTATCTAAAAGTATTCTATCTAGGGTTCTATACCTGCGAGGTATCTAAAAATATTCTGCCTAGGGTTCTATACCTGTGAGGTATCTAAAAGTATTCTATCTAGGGTTCTATACCTGCGAGGTATCTAAAAATATTCTGCCTATGGTTCTAAACCTGCGAGGTATCTAAAAGTATTCTATCTAGGATTCTATACCTGTGAGGTATCTAAAAGTATTCCGCCTAGGGTTCTATACTTGTGAGGTATCTAAAAGTATTCTATCTAGGGTTCTATACCTGCGAGGTATCTAAAAGTATTCTGCCTAGGGTTCTGCACCTGTTAGGTATCTAAAAGTATTCTATCTAGAGTTCTATACCTGCGAGGTATCTAAAAGTATTCTGCCTAGGGTTCTATACCTGCGAGGTATCTAAAAATATTCTGCCTAGGGTTCTGCACCTGTTAGGTATCTAAAAGTATTCTATCTAGGGGAGGTATCTAAAAGTATTCTGCCTAGGGTTCTATACCTGCGAGGTATCTAAAAGTATTCTGTCTAGGGTTCTATACCTGCGAGGTATCTAAAACTATTCTGTCTAGGGTTCTATACCTGTGAAGTAACGACTGAGGAACTATTTGAAACAGTCTCTAGAAAACAGTATCTTCAGGTTGTACGTGAGTATTTTTTTCTAGAAAGGATTGTTCTTATCAGTTTAAGTGACCCTTCATGCAAAGATAGCAATGCCGGATTCACAACAGTACCCTTGAAACCTTTAATAATGTGAAAGATTCGGTCGTTTTCAATTTCTGGGTTTCTGAGTCTGAAAATGAATTGAGTTTCTTTACCGCAAAATCTGATTTTTTACTCTCTATATCTTTGCAACCTAAAGTTTTAAACCATAGATATTTCATACTATGAGTACTGTTAGTTCAAATAATCTAAGTTTAATATATCAAAGGTTTGCACCATGAGGTTGTAAATATAAAAATATTTGAAAATTTGAGTTTGCGGCAAGGATTCAATTCTGCTTTCTATAAATGTTCTCCTGATTCCTACATGCAGACGCAGTATAGAAATGCGAAGAAACTACAATTTAAAATAATCCGTTATTTACACTAAAGTTAATAATATCCAAAGACGGTAGAATAGTAGAAGATAGGGCATTAGGAATTAATCCGAGTAGTGTGTACGCTCTGTAACCTTTTATATGACGTCATTGGCTGCAGTATTGGTTTGAAATTCAAACAATCAACATTAAAATTCTAGTTATCAAATAAATTAATCATTGTAATTGCTAAAAATGAGGGGTAAATAACGATACGGTTATAAACTTCTAAATTTGTTTAATCAGTTATAGGATAGGATGCTCTCCTAAAATTGTGATTTTGTTACGCATCTCATTTGTATGAAAAATACCACATATTTTGAAACAAAATTTGTTAGAATGTCATTAAGTATAGTTCTGTTATAGTCTAAAGCAGAATTTTAGGGCAGTAACGTGAGCAAAGCCCGAAAAAAACCTTGGTTTTAAGTAGCCAGATTTTTAAACAAATTACATTGCAGACTGTTTTCAGACAAAGTTTATCTAAACAGATAATAAAGTTATGCATTTCTAACGGAAAATTATGTTAAAAAACGCAAGTTTTTGGTGATAGAAATGCTTAAAAAGTCCTAAAATCTTTTTAAATTATAGAAAAGACTACATTCTATGGCTTCTTATTGAACCCACATGAGGCGTCTGGTTTTGCGCTTAAATCCCAATGCCTACTCTTTATATTACAAAGCTTTTTGATAATATCAAATTCATTCTTTATCAGACAACGCTTTAAATCCTACCGTTGTGAATCCGACATTGCCATCTTTGCATGGAGGTTCACTGAAAACTACGCTTATAGTCCCTTTTAGGTGATCTTTTTTTCTATGCCTAGCTTTGTGTGATCTGAAATAAAGTGGTGAGAAAATCGGGGTATTAGGGTACATAGTACCGTTGTGAAATAGACATGCAATTTTATATTTTTTTAATGAAGGATCACTTTCAATCACGTCTTCAGTCCCTTTAAATACTCTTTTCATAAAAGGATCGTTATTCCTTTAATTCCTTAGCTTCAAATTGATATGATTTGTCATTGTTTGACTTCTTTACGAGGATTGTAATTTGTAATTTGGCGGATTTTATGATTTCAATATTTCTGGTTACAGTGTATATTTTATAATTTTATACCACTCTTTAACATGAAATACAACAAATTAAAGCGAATTAAAAACCTGTAGGAGTCACAATGAAAACATCCAGTTTGCACAAGAGGGGGAGAGGGTTGCATGAGTTCAAAGGGGGGGTGGGGATCTGGGAAAAAGGGCGGATTGCCTCAGGGGTGACCAGGTGGGCTGTATGCAACTGTTAAATTTTTTTATTTTTCAATTAAATCAGAATTTCAGGAATTGTTACAATCTCAATTTTTCGTAATTTATACTTATAAATTGAGCTTTAAAAAAAGGGTTTTTAAGGTAATAAAATTAGTGATTGAAATTTAAAAAAATATAATGACCAAAAGATTCTTTTTTAGATTAATTTAGCGACAATTTTTTCTTCTATTTTCCTATTTAATTTCTCTCTTAAGTTCATTTATGTTTCTGATTTTTTAAACATTCATATCACTTATCACTTATCACTTTACTTTCACTTATCATTTTCACTTATCAGTCATCACTTATCACTTATCACTTATCAGTTATCACTCATCACTTATCACTTATCACTTATCACTTATCACTTATCACTTATCACTTATCACTTATCACTTATCACTTATCACTTTACTTTCACTTATCACTTATCACTTATCACTTATCACTTATCACTTATCACTTATCACTTATCACTTATCACTTATCACTTATCATTTATCACTTTACTTTCACTTATGACTTATCACTTATCACTTATCACTTATCACTTATCACTTATCACTTATCACTTTACTTTTACTTATCACTTATCACTTATCAGATATCACTTATCACTCTCACTCTCTCTTTTAACTTATAAAAAGGTGAGTCATGGAGCAATTCAGTTTTTTTCAGTCTGCAAAACAATATTTCTAATGAAATACAAGTTTGGAATTTTTATTCACCCTATGCGATAAAGTCCAATAGATCACAACAATGCAAAGACTATGCTATTCAAATTTCAATTGAATTTTATAACAAAAATCCTCTAAAAGGTTTAATATTCATTTGATCATGTCAAAGTTTTAAAACTGATATTTCAGACAGAGAGACATGTTTTTCCCACTTCATGGAAAGTTTCAATTTTAAAAACAGAAAAATCAAAAATACCCTGAAATCCCAAACACCAAACATATTCTTCATAGGATATCACCCTTCCCCTTCCTTCACCCTTCCCCTCTCCCCCCCTAATTTCATAGTTAGACCTACATAAAAAAGACTTCAGATTTAAAGTAAAGTACAAAATTTTATTTACATATAACCCTGAGCCCGGGATTTGAAAAATTCTGGAAAATGCGGCTCGGGTCTAAGCTGTCGTTGGACCTTATTTACAGTCTGAGCTTTCGGATTCAAGCTGAATCTTATATTCGACGGATCGTTGAGTTCGCAAAACCGCTTAAATATTCTATTTGGCGGATTTTCACAGTTGGAATTGGCGCATTCCAGGTTTTGATGAGAACAAGACTCAACATTGAGCCTTATTCTCCACTAAAACCAACCCAAGTCGATTTTATTTTCATTGGGCCTAACTCCTAAGTCGAGCCTAGGATCTTGCAGCTGTCATTCACGTGACACAATCTGTCGTCAGAGTTGGGTCGAAGATCGGGTCTTAAAGTCGGGTTCAAGGAATTACGAGTCGAGTCGAAGTTTTTAAATCGCTGGCTCTGGGCGAGCTGCGTTTGGTTTCTTCCATTTACTTTCGATCGCAGTTTTGATACGTAGCTCAACAATTTAAAACTTGTTGAGCTGTCTTTTAATACTTTTATTCTTTTATCTTTCAATAATTGTTAAGCCTTAATGCACAAAATTATATCTAATGCAATTTGAAATATCAAATATAACTTGGTTAAAGGTAGTGATTAAATTAAGTCAGTATGATAAAACATCTTAAAAGTTACGTCACATGATAAACACCTTAGATATTTTTCAAGATATAAACATTCATCAACAAATCTATATATAAATTTGGCTTGTCTGTCTGTTTGTCTGTCTGTCTGTCTGTCTGTCTGTTTGTATCCAATAAACGTCAAAACGGCTGAACCGATCGGGCCCAATTTTTTTGTGGGACATCTAGGGACCCCAGGGAAGGTTTATGAATGATTGAAATTTTAAATATTTGTCTCCATCAAAATTCGATCTTCACTAATTTTTTTGAAATTTTGAAAATCCACGAATTTTTTTGTGAAAATCCGCGAATTATTTTTGTTTTGTTTTACGATGTACACAAAGAGAACATTTTCACAATTAATTTAGAAGATGGGCACGAAGCGCCCTACAAGGCTAGTATTAAATATTTAATATCGAATTTTTTTTAAGGGAACCCACAATGGGGAATAACCAACTTTTAGCTGAAAAATACAAGGATATATATGATACCAACCAACCAAAAAAAATGTTTGAAGTGTTACAGAATTAATTATAAATCTGCCACTCCGAAAATTAAAATTATTATATTATAAAGATGTATTCACACACAAAGATATAAATACATATATAAATGGTGTAGTTTAAATTTGTTTAAATAAATTTTTGAAAATACAGGTTTCCTAAAGAAAAGAGAAAAATTTGCAAATTTATGCACAAATAGACGACATTGATTATTACTCACTACATAACATATTTATCATTTCAATTATTACGTAATCATCGAATCCTTCATATAAATTATTCGTTCTTGTATTTTAAAGTTCTTGTAAAACCGGAACTTTCCATGCATGTTCCAATGGGAAATCAAAATATTTCAATTGTTTCTTAACTAACATTTTACTATAAGATCAAAGGAATTACAGAACAATCATTTGCAATAGAAAATAAATTTCTGCCAAGTAATTTTTACATAAATTCGAAAGAAATCTAATGCAAAGCTTAGAACTTGCTTCAATAGTCTCATAGAAAGACACACATCTGCTAGCTAACATAGTTTTTACATGTAAACATTGTGAAATACTTTCAATCAAGTACTCCGTGGATGAATGTAACCCGGTGAATAAATATATTTGTTTAGTTTACCGTGGATGAATGTAACCCGGTGTATAAATATATTTGTTTAGTTTACTGTGGATGAATGTTTCCCGGTTTACTAATATTTTTGTTTAGTTTACCGTGGATGAATGTAACCCGGTGTATAAATATTTTTGTTTAGTTTACTGTTGATGAATGTAACCCGGTGTATAAATATTTTTGTTTAGTTTACTGTTGATGATTGTAACCCGGTGTATAAATATTTTTGTTTAGTATATGGATGAATGTAACCCCGTGTATAAATTTTTTTGTTTAGTTTGCCGTGGATGAATGTGACCCCACAGCTTGAGTTCTACGTGAACAACAAGAAAGCAAAACACAAGGCAAAAAATTGATGTTTAAATACAGTGGTAGGCAATCATACAAATAGAATAAAGACGACTTTTTTATTTTAGCTTTTATTGTTAACAAGCTTTTTCGAATTACAAGTTTAAAGATATCAAAGAGAAGCTTTTAACTGACAGCTTCTCTATGTTTATGTGTATCCATAGTTGTTTAACAACTTGAAATGAATCAAAATTTAAATCAAATGATGTCTTCATTGTATTGATATAATCGCCTACCACTGTAAGAATCAGAAAACGCTGGATCATAAAACGCCGCTAATGATTTATTAATAATTATTGCGATTTTCCTGTAAAAATACAATTTAGTAGATTTTTCTGTTGTATAGCATTTTATCTGGTACACCGTTTCATTTATGTGTAGCGTTTTATAACGTAGCGTTTTACAACGTAGCGTTTTATAACGAAGCGTTTTATAACGAAGAGTTTTTACTGAGATTAATTTTTCAGTGAAGCATTTTTGTGATGATCAAATTCTTTCAAAAGATATATTTCTGACAACAGTTAAGGCGCAATATTAGATAAACTTTTATGATATTTTACGATCAAAAGGAAAGAAAATACGAGAATAATTTTAGTTTTCTGGAAACCACTGTAAAATTATTTTCAAAAAATTTCGCTAGTTACAATATTTTATCTAGACTAATATGAGACAATTGTGCCCCACTGAGCTGTCAAATAAATTCTTCATTGAAAACAATAAGTTTATTAGTTAAAAAAGAAAGCGAATATATCCTAAATATTTCGACATAATTTTTCTTGTATTATATGTATTTAAACTATTTAATTCTGTTTATATTTGAATTTTTTTCTAACAAAAGTTTAAAGTGCAGGACAAATATTAATATTTTCTAACAAAAGTCAAAATTACAGGACAAAATGTTAGTATTTTCTAACAAAGTTAAAATTGCAGGATGAAATATCAATATTTTCTAACAAAAGTTTAATTTACAGGACAAAATGTTAGTATCTTCAAACAAAAGTTTAAATTACATGACGAAATATTAGTATCTTCTAACAAAAGTTTAAATCACAGGACAAAATATTAGTATTTTCTAACAAAAGTTTAAATCACAGGACGAAATATTAGTATTTTCTAACAAAAGTTTAAATCACAGGACGAAATATTAATATCTAACAAAAGTTTAATTTACAGGACAAAATGTTAGCATTTTCTAACAAAAATTTCAATTTACAGGACGAAATATTAGTATTTTCTAGCAAAAGTTTAAATCTCAGGACAAAATATTAGTATTTTCTAACAAAAGTTTAAATCTCAGGACAAAATATTAGTATTTTCTAACAAAAGTTTAAATCACAGGACGAAATATTAGTATCTTCTAACAAAGTTAAAATTGCAGGACGAAAAATTAATATCTAACAAAAGTTTAATTTACAGGACAAAATGTTAGCATTTTCTAACAAAAATTTCAATTTACTGGACGAAATATTAGTATTTTCTAACAAAAGTTTGAATTACAGGACGAAATGCAAGTAAGACGACTTCTGGATGCTGGGAATGAAAAACACAGCAAGTAAGATTTGAAAATAAATGAAAAAATTAAAAAAAATGATGGCGGCCATTTTGTTTTTAGGAATAAGTTGCGAGCTTTTGAATACCAGCTGGAGGATAATGGCGGACTACTCGGTACATCACTAGCTCTAGAAGTTAGGATTACTAGGAACCATTTGAATTCAAACAACAAGGTATCTATCTATCTATCTATCTATCTATCTACATACCTACCTACCTACCTACCTACTTACCTACCTACCTACCTACCTAACTGCCTACCTACCTATCTACCTACCTACCTACCTGTAACTACATATCTACCTACATTCCTACCTACCTACCTACCTACCTACCTAACTACCTACCTAACTACCTACCTACCTACCTAAATACCTATCTACCTACCTACATGCCTACCTACCTACCTTTACCTCCCTTACTATCTACCTACTAACCTACCTACCTACCTGCCTACCTACCTGAATATTTAGGTAAGGTTTACATGTCGTGCTACTGCTGCAAATGGAATCTATCTGGAGGAAACAAGTGTTGATGTTGGAGTCAGGTACAGGGTGTCCCACGAAACATGATGAATTAAATGTCGTCTTTAATATTTGCAAAAAATTTGCGGTATTTATTCGTAAACCTTATTTTGTAGGTAAAATTCTAAAGTTAATAATCCCGAAATATTCCTAGTCTTGATGTTTCCAAAATGTGGTCTGTCTTTTTCGTGATTGTAAGAAGAATTTCGTTCAGACATCGATAATTTTGGTTTTATTTAATAACTTTGAAATCTGAAGGAAATTCTTCATATCTCTAGTAAAATTGACAGCACAAAAAAGGCAGACCACATTTTGAAAATACTTGTACTACAAGAATTTTGTGTTTATTGTTTCAATAATCATACATATGACGACTAAATGTCTCAAATAAATTAAAAGTACAAATCCTGCTACCATCATGTTTCGTGGGACACTATGTAGTATCTCTATATGTATTTAATTATATAGAGTTGTGAATTTTGACACAAACTCAAATTTTTTAATCTTTATATCCTTGCAACCCAATGTCGTAGGTCTTTGATTTTTCAAACTATGAATTCTGTTTTATAAAATAATCTAAGTTTGAAAATTAAACAGTTTACATTATCAGGTTATTTGAATATCAACGACATGATGTTATTACTTCGACAATTTGTGTTAAAAGTGATTTTTACTATTTTCAATTTTTCCTAATTAAAAAACTAAAAATGAATACAAAATTCCGGATACAAACGTGATTAGCATGGTTTTAAGAAAAACACAAAAATTTAATCATATTTGCCATCTAATTAAATTAGGAATTTTTATAAAGTTTTTTGAATATTTAGTAAATAAAACAATGCATATAACAACGACGCAAAAAAATAGAAAAATCTACATTGGTGTGCAAATTTTAAATCAGGGAAGTTCCGGGAAAATATCATTGACTCCGTGCTATGATATTTTTAAATTTCGGAATTGAAAAACAATTTTTGTTTATTAAAACAATTTCAAAGTATGTTTTTAACTGTTGAAAGTGTGGTATAAGCCTTAAGGTCGATCCAAAGACAAGTCCAGCCATTAAGAATTCGACATTTAAATACAAGGTACGGACTCAGGATGCTCTGCCTGATCTAGGTGAAACAGGACGGATACAGATATAAGTTAATTCTGTAAATGATAAAATAATTATATATTTAATGTTTAGAGCACAAGACCTTCTCTTCTACTCTTCAAGCACTCTAATAAGCCCAACTATTAGCCTACTCATCCTAAGTTTCATTCATAATATACTTCAGTGAAGAAGAAAATCTAGAATATGAAAACTACTTTTAAACTCAAGTTCTCAAGTATACACACAGACCTATTTCAATAATTAAGTTGATTTTCTAGCTATAACAAGTAAAACACAATTGTAACACCATCAAATACACATCAAATGTATTAAACGTCGTTTTTTGGGTTCACTGTATCTATAACTAGCCTACTCATCCTTAGTTTCAATCATACCATGCTATTTAAATATTTCCATACTAAAAAATTCCTTATTTTTATGTCATTTTTCGCAGCCAAAAGTTTGATATTATACAGGGTGACACCCAATGGATGATATTTAAATGCCCTGTAATTGTAACTTTATTGATATTAGAGCTAAAATCTATGCCTTCTTAAATGGACTACTGACATTATTTTAAATAGTTTTCCAGCCAAAAAAGAGTGCGATTTATCTGATCCGCAATGAGGCAATTAAAAGTACTTCTACCAGTTCCTCTAATTCGAAAAGTTCTATTAATCATATTTGCCCAAATGGAGAACACAATATAGAAAAAAATGCTTTATAATATTATTAGTCAAAAACATTTTTTATTGTTAAAAATTTGTTTAGGTGCCAAACTAGAAAATCTGTAGTTTTCATATGGAGTTTATAATTCCTTAAAAATATTTTAAAATAAAAAAACACACTAATTGTGAACTTTTTTTAAATTCCAATAACCTTAAATAATTTATGAAAGAGTCTGTAAACACAATTGCAAGTGACCAACCATTTTCAGAGGGACATGTCCGATTTACAACGGTACTCAAACATATTGATATCTACAAAACTGCCTGATCCATTACACCGGGTTTCCTAAACTGGGTTTTATTACGATATCCTTAAATTTCGGGCTCAGGCGCCAAAAAACTCTTTGCCTTGTATATTTTTGTCATTTCAAGTATGAATTAGATATCAATGTTTATAACTTGGAAAACTGATTATTTGCGATTGTGATTACTCTACAAAAGTGGCTTGTGCAATTCTTCTGCAGGAAAACATAGAGGATTATCAGAATTACACAGTTTTTAATCTAGAAAAACGCGAATATCTTCCTCATTATTTACCAGATTAAGATTTTAAGGGTACCGTTGTGAATCGACATTGCCATCTTTGCATAGAGGGTCACTTGAAATTACGCTTATAGTCCCTTTAAAAAATTACGATCTATAAATTTGCTTGCCTATTGTTATTTTCCCACGAAACATGACAGTTCATCAACAACTAAAATGTCGTCTTTCATCTTTGAAATGTTTTGCGGCATTGGCTCGTCAACCTTCTTTTAAAAATATGATTTTTAAAACATTAATAATAACATTCCCTTATTCCTGGCATTTCCAAAATATAAAGAACTAACTGAATTGCCCGGCGTTGTTTAATTTTAAATTTTTTTGTAAAAATAGATTTTAAATTTTGAAGAAAAAAATCGATTTGAGAAAAAAATTATTCGAATTTTTAAAATCCATGTTACCCCCAGAATATTCATGGGTTCCCTAAAAAAATTAGCCAATTTGGTTCTGACGTTTGGCCAGTTATAGCTAACAAAAAGAAGAGCTATTTATAGATTACTTTCTGTAATCTCCAAGCTGTCATGTTTCGTGGAACACCCAGTTTTTTAAATGTATGTGTTAAAATACAATGTTCGGCGTTTATGTCAATACAATGAGGACGACTTTTATACTCAAGGTTTGATTGTTAACAAGCTTTTTTTTAATTACAAGTTTACAAGTAAACAAGGAAAATCTGGTAATTCGTTTCCTTGTATCTATGCTAGCTGTTTAAAAGCTTTTTAGAAATAAAAATTGAATTCGAAAGTCGTCGTCATTGTATTTATATATACGACGACGAATGTAAATATATTTTTTTGCAGAAACATATCAGAATAATGTAATATTTTAAGTGTATCGCCGTATTTATCTCTTATAATTGTTAAACTATATATTATTCTACATGATTATCATTGTATCGAAAATAATATAACTTGTAAATAAAAATCTATAAAAACCTTTTTTATTTTTTTTTTGTTGAAAATTAGTTTTTTACCATACATTTTTCTTTTTTCTTTAAAATGCTCTTGCAGACGATGATATTTTAATGCCAAAAAAACTCTCAGGTTAATTTCTCAGGTAAATTTTAGTATTATGTAAGCATCTAACAGAACAAAAAATACCTTAAAAGCTTTGTCGTCTTTGAAGTGACTGAAGTTGTTCTGCGATTTTTTATTTTTATATATTTTTTTTAAAAACCAGAAAAATCTTTGACTTTCAACTTTTATTATTTTCTTTTTTAACCAAGTCTCTGACTATTGTGCATTATTATGTAAATAATAGTGAATTTTTGAGCAAAATCTTGCTGTTGATATCTATTTTTAATATTTTTTATTCCCAAATCTACGAAATAAATTTTAACACCTCCTTCTCCCCTCCCAATTTTATTCTTTTACCTACACCTTGGCTGCAAGCAATGCATATTGAATAAATGTTTATCTATTCGAAATGATGGATTTTCTTTTCTAAGAACTTACAACTCGTTATAACTTAACATTTCTTAGACACTCATATTGCAGCAATCCAGGTTTAAAGGGACTGTAAACGTAATTCAAAGTAACCCTCCTTTTATAGAGTGATATGTCCGATTCAAAACAGTACCCTTGAAAGCTTTGTCAGATCATGAATAGTTGAACTGTTCATTATTTTTAAATTCAAGTTACTCTTCAATAGTGATTTCTACATGACTATTATTTAGAATCAAAATAGAATAAACTGTGAAAATTAACACTTTTCAAAGTAGAAAAACGATGATATATCCAAGATTTTAGATTCGACAAAGCTTTTCCACGGGTTTCTGCAGTTGTGAATCAGAAATTCCACTTTATAAAAAGAAGATCACTTGAAAATACGAGTATAGTCCCTTTAGTATTTATTCTTCAGTCAATATTTTCTGTTTCTAAGCACGCAAGAGCACGCAAGAGTACGATCTTTAACAAAACTAATTTTTTCCTCGCCAAACTGCGCTTCTCCGTAATTAATAATATGAAGGAATGTTTATCAGAAAACTGATGCAATTAACACAATTTTATAGGAAAAGAATTTGTAGGAAAAGTAAGATCAATTAATGAATAGAAAGCTTCTGAAATAAAAAAATTAGTAAATCATCACAAAAAAGAAGATTTTTGCAATTTTTCTTTGTCTACTTGTTTCATGAATGCATGATTTATTTCAGGACTGGAAAATATATGAATTAATAACCCTGAAAGGATGAGACTGTGAATAAAAAAAATCCCCAAATTAACCCAGTGTGGCCCATTGAGTGGGCAAGAAACGCCCTATATCAACGTTTTGTGTAATCCCCGAAGATAAAAAAGATAAAAAATTTACCCAGTGTGAATATAAAAAAAATCCCGTATTAACACAATGTGTAGAAGTAAGAAAAACCCCATATTAACCCACTGTGGAGGTAAAAAATTCCCCATTTTACCCAGTGTGAATATAAAAAAAAATCCCATATTAACATAATGTGTAGAAGTAAGAAAAAACCCCATATTAACCCACTGTGGAGGTAAAAAATTCCCCATTTTACCCAGTGTGAATATAAAAGTAATTCCCATATTAACATAATGTGTAGAAGTAGGAAAAAATCCCATATTAACCCATGCACTGTGGAGGTAAAAAAATCCCCATTTTACCCAGTGTGAATATAAAAAAGAATTCCCATATTAACATAATGTGTAGAAGTAAAAAAAAACATATTAACCCAGTTTAGAGGTATGAAAAATCTCCGTTTAACCTGCAGGGTGAATATAAAAAACCCCCATATATTAAACTAGTGTTGAGAAGTAAGAAAAATCTCCATAATAACCCAGTACTTGAGTAGGTAAGCATCATTATATCGATGTATAGCTGCAAGAATTAGTCACATATTAACCCAGTGTGAATATAAGAAAAAACCCCATATTAACCCAGTGTGATTATAAGAAAAAAAACCATATTAACCCATTGTGATTATAAGAAAAAGTCCCATATTAACCCAGTGTGATTATAAGAAAAAGCCCAATATTAACCCAGTGTGATTATAAGAAAAAGCCCCATGTTAACCTAGTGTTAATATAAGAAAAAGCCCGATATTAACCCAATTTGATTATAAGAAAAAGCCCCATATTAACCCAATGTGAATATAAGAAAAGTGTGTTAGTACTGAGATGGGTTAAACCTGATAAAATAAGACAGATAAATCCCCAATGGTTCATGGAGAAAAATATTCTGGTATCAGCGTACCGAGTATAAATATATTTATATACACCCCGTCCCACAAAACATGATGGATTAAATATTTTTTATTATTTATCGATTTGTATTGAGTTCCCTAACATATTTCCGCAAACAAAAAATATTTTTACCCCCCTCGGCTTACTACGACAATATAGATCACCGCTTTAAACCAGCAAAATTTCATCTTGAAGAGAAATAATTACAGATAACTTACAGTCATAACCAGAAAACTCTGAAATAGAAGGATGACTTTCAGACTTAAGTTATGACTTTAAATTGACCAGTGAGCATGGGACACAGCAAGTGCACAGTGAAAACAGACCCATTTCACTTAATTAGTGATTTAATAATTGTCTGGTAAAACCTAAAATACACATAAGTATTGCTTTTAAGTCGTCTTCCTATTTCAGAGTTTTCTGGTTATCACTGTAAGATTATTTTCAGTTCAAAAGAGAAAACAGTTTCAGTTTTTTTTTGTTCATTTTGATGTCTACAATTGATCGTTTCGAATTCTATTGTTAAAAGGGACTGTACCACTATAGTTTCAGTAAAACTAAATGTTTCCATTTACTGTTTAGCGCCGATATAAGGATTCATCTCTTATTGGATAATGAGATAGATAGAAAGATAGATGTTGCCACCATACTTCTATTAATTCAGAATAGACAACAAACACATGACTGAACCCTGATTGGATCAGGCGCTAATGAACTCGGCATACAGGAGTGGTACGCTTAGTTATAAGTGACTCTATTCAAAGATGGCAATCTCCAATACCCTTGAAGCCATAATCTAGCAAAAACTGTAGATTTATCCGACTTGATCGTGCTTCTTATGCGCAAGTCACTCGCAGAGAATCCGCAAATAAATATTAACAGTTTAAAGAAACAAAAAACATGGATATTTAGTATACATTCAGGGTACCGCTGTAGTTTGTAAATCGGGCATTTCCATCTTTGCATGCCGAGGGTTATTTAAAATTACGCTTACAGTCCCTTTAATTAATATACAAGAAGATGTAAATAGGTATGTAAACCATCATATATTAAAGGATGGATGATAAAATTCGATCAATAGATATAAATTGTTCAAAAGAAAGAAATATAGATAGATACGAATAAAAATAGATATATATCTAGAATGGTAGATGCAAGAATGAAATGCAAAGAAAGTTAATTGCAGTTGCGTATACTCTGCGTACATATTGAAACCAGTTCTCTCTGGGCGGAATTTGTAAACAAGAATAGATGCATCAGTGTTCGTCTAGTATCCGAGGAGGTTAACAGCATTGAATTTTGATAATTCACATAATAGTTTCCTATGACCAGAATATTTCATTGATTATTTATGTGAAAGATGGATCCCATGTCAGACTTCGATATCTTCAATCTACACTTTATCCCTCTCTGTCCTTTTTTTCCATTTTTCTTAAGGTTTCCGTTTTTCTTTTAGATTCATCTTTTTTCACTTTTCCTTCTTAAACCCATCCTAGATAAACTCCCCCTTTATTTTATCCCCTTAATCCTTTTTTAACTTTTTCAAAAGTTTTCCAACATTTTCCTAATATTTTTCCATTTCCATTTTTTCTTTAGATTCCTTTAAATACAAATACAAATAACATTTTCCCATTTTTCCTTTTTCCATTTTTTTACCCTAGAAATATATTTTTCTTTATTTTAGATTTATTCAAAAAGATAGTTAAGAACAGACCCTTTAACTAACCTTGTATTGAGGTGTAGATAGTTAAGAACAGACCCTTTAACTAACCTTGTATTGAGGTGTAGATAGTTAAGAACTGACCCTTTAACTAACCTTGTATTGAGGTGTAGATAGTTAAGAACA